TTAAACCACTATAAGATGTTTTTTTTTTATAAAAACTCAAATATTGTGGAGTTAATGCATCTCATATAAAAATTCGGTATGAACCTGGTTTTGACTCATTTCATTTAAAGTCGTATATAGTCTGTTCCAAAAGCGACTTTAAGAGAGGGATTGCTGTATTCTAATTCTTGAATATATCCGAAAGTGTACGAATACGTTTTTTGTGTCATTATAATATTTGGTCACCATTTATAATGTTAAATATAAATAGTTTCAATAATCTATTGAATTTTAAAATCCTTAATGGGTTGACAAAATTGTATTATACAAACGGTATGAACACAAAAAAAAGGTATTTGTAGAATATCTTTCAATAATTCAATAAGTTATTTAAAATAGTGTTTAACAGAAAGATAGAATATTGTTAACTTTTAACTGTTCGTAATTTCATTATCGGGCAAAATTTACTATAAAAGAATTATGTTTTTTGAACGGATATCCTATAACAATGGGTTCAGCAAAATATTAAAGTTTTTTCGATTTTAATTTCTATTTAGGTGTGACTTTAGTTCTCCAATAATTTTCGTTTGTTATAAAGCTAATAGAATAGGTCATTGATTATTTTTTTTTTAATTTTTATTAATTAAACATAAAAAAATATTTTTTTCTTGTTTGGGTTTACACAAATTAAACAGAATTGACACGCAAATTAAAGTTATTTAACAAAATCGAGGCGCAATTCTAAGAAAACCATATATTTGGAAATGTTTTTAATGATAATCAAAGAATGTATGATTATCAGCAGAATGTAAAATTATGTAAAATATCGTTAACATTTTGTTAGAATATAGAAAAGATTTATCAAGCATGATAATAGTCTGACAGACATTGTTAGAGAATAAAAGAGTCTCTTTAGCAAAAAGTTTCTTCGTGGCTCTATGAAATAAAAATTATTACATGACATTACCTAAAAATATGTAATATTCTATATCAGCAAATTGTCCAGTAACGGTACTTTTCCAAAAATCTGTTGCATACAAATCTAAATAAATTTTAATAATACAAATCTAAATACAATTTAGAAAAAAACGAGATATGCAATACCGAATAATTCTTCTCACTCGAAAATTACAATATACAAATATATGATAATTCCTTCCCACTTGCCGAGTAAAAAAGCTAGATAGGCAATCAGACCCTTAATATTGAAATTTAAAAATGTGTAGTGATATAATAGTGAAATAAAAATTAAAAGAGAATTACATCTTTTATCGATCTTTTTTTGTGTACCATAAACATTTTACCTTTGCAAATTCTATTTTGTTTCAAAACACATATGCATACTCCATATTTTAAACAGGGAATTGGAGACTCGATTAATTTAAGGGGAATTTCATAAGCTTTAGATTGGGTACAGTTTTCAGAAAACTTTTAGGCTCCATAACTCTAAATTTTATCTAAAGTTAGGTATTTATAAAGAGAACCGACATAAACTGTAACCAAAATAACGATAACCACATAACTAATTTTCACACGAATATATTTCCTACCCCTTATTTTTATTTTGGATACAATTTAAGAAGGTTTTAGAAATAAGTTATATTTTTGATTTATTTATGAAAAGAAATTATTTACATAGCTTGAATAAAAAAAATCTCATTTGGTAATGTTTTTATTTAAATACCGATAAACTTGTGTCAATCAAAACATTTTTTATTCAGCTATATTTTTATACCCTGCACTTCGTGAAGGGTATATTAACTTTGTATGGAGTTCGTATAAGGGTATGGAGTTTGTAACTACTTGAAGGAGTCATCTGCGGTATGGACATATATATATATTCTTGCTCAGCGTAAAATTCTGCGTCGATTTAGACATGTCCGTCCGTCCGTCCGTCCGTCCGTCCGTCCGTCCGTCCGTCCGTCCGTCCGTCCGATCGTACGATAACTCAAAAACGAATAATGCTATCGACACCAAACTTTCACAAGTTTTTTCTTTTGTGCCAAGGACGAACCCTATTGTAATTGGACTAATTCAGACAACGGGCTCGGGTAGCTGCCGTACAACTCAAAGAGTTTATTTTAAATATTTCGAAAACTAATAAAGCTATAAATATAAAATTTTGTATACATATGTCCAATTATATTCTACACATGCTCTAAAAATTATAATGGGATAGCTGCACCGGTTCGGGTGGCTGCCATACAACTCCAACAGCAAATTTTTTATATTCGGCAAAATAATAAAGTCAGATTCATGAAACTTGGCAGTCATGTGTCCAATTATAGGTCAAATATATTTCTGAAGTTTTAGAGGAATTGCTTGACAGGTTCGGGTACTTGCCATACAACTACAGAAGTTAATTTTAAATATTTGGAAAAATAATAAAGTCAGATTCATGAACCTTGGCAGTTGCGTGTCCGATTGTAGATCAGATATATTTGTGAAGTTTTAGTGCAATTGCTTGACAGGTTCGGGTACTTGCCATACAACTCCAAAAGCTTATTTTAAATATTTGCAAAAATAATAAAGTCAGATTCATGAAACTTGGCAGTCGGATGTCCAATTATAGGTCAGACATATCCTTGAAGTTTCTATAGAATGATTTCACGGGTTCGTGTAATTGCTACACAATAACAAAAGGTGCAGGGTATAATTCAATCGGTTTATACCGACTGAAACGTTTTTACTTGTTTTCTATTCAGCTATATTATAGAAAAGCAAAAAAAACTATTGTCAGAAGAGCTATTTATATATTTATATAATGTATAACAATTTTATATATATAACATTGTTATACATTATATCCCTTTTAGTTTTATTTTGTCAATATAATTGAAATGATTTTAGCGCGTTTAACTATAGGAAGTATCGAAATATGTTTATGTTATATAAAAATTATTTCTACTTTTACGACTTTCTTCGGGAGTATCATCAAGTCTCGGACACTTTGTATAATAATTATTTGGGTAGATATTAGCAGCTTATCTATCAGAATGAGAACGTTATAAAATTTAATATGTACACAATTTTTGATTGACTATTTTTAAATTGACTATGTTAACAAAATGCTATCACGTCATTAATTATAAAATAATGAATGTTGTAGAATATAACATTAATGTATACATAAAACGTCAAATTGTAAACATTTTTATTTCAAATGTAATGATTAATTGATTTTATTTTGAAAAAGACTCAAATGAGTCACAATACTCGAATGAAAGAGGAAATTACTTCCATTTTTATAATTAATATAAATTTAATTTGTTAAAATATAATTTCTTACGACGATTACGAATTTTTACACTATTATCAACCATTAAAGTAAATCTTAATTAATTTTCTGATGATTCGAGTAGAAAAATAGTTTTGTTTTAAAGTTGTTACTGTTTATTAAAATGCTTTTTAATTAATTACCTATTATAAAAATGCTATGCATGAAACAACATTTCAAATTAAGCATGTATTTTGAAAATATTTGCATATAGTCGTTGAATACTAAAATTTATAATAATGATTAATGAATTATTAAGTATAAAATTTTATAACTTAAAATTGAAAATGTTTCAATTTTTTATTAAGAATTTGAAGAATTCTAATGGTTCATTTGTATAATTAACAAAAAGTAATGAATACAAGCAAATGGTTAGCAAATAATTATAATAAAATTAAATGTTGATTAATAACATTTACATACTATGTAACTACTTATTGCCATTTCAGAGACTCAGAATTATTGCTATTCATTTCTTGTCTTATCAAAGAATATGATTAACAAATAAATGTTTTTTCAATTGAACAACAATTAATTCGAATGGCATCGAAGATAAAATTAAGATAAAAAAAAGCATATTTTAAAATCAAGATAAAAAAACATTTATTTGAACAATTTAAGTTGTGAAAAATTCAGTATACAATTTGAGAATTTTAATAAGGGAACGGGATTATTCAGAATTAGAATTGTGGGAACGGGAAGAAGCAAGGGAAGAACCTCCTTAATTATAGTTAAACAAATTTGGAAAAACTGAGCATATATACTTAGTTAAGTCTGAGTATAGTAAGAACATAAAAAGATCATCTGAGGAACAACTGAAAATTTGAGGAATCCAATTTTTCTAGTAAACAGTATGTTTTGGAAGTCAAGGATTTGCACATTTCGTAGAGTTTTCAAAATGGTTTAATTTTCTAGAAAATTAGCATACCCTTCGAACATACGTTCGTACGGGTATAAAAATATAAATACCAGATATAGAATCTACATGATCACTCAAGGGCGGAATGAAAATGATCGCCGTAAAGAGTTAATTCGCATGTATAGAAAGAAAAATTTTGTTTTCATACTAAAAATTTTCTCAAAGTATTTAAGTGATTTAAGTGATTGCCTTTTTGTCTTGAAGCATTTACGTGTTTTCTCTCGCCTATACATATATGTATATGCAAAGTGTATTTTAACAAGCGTTTTATTATTAATCATTATACACATATTATGTTCATAGTGTGGAAAACAGTGGTCAACATATGAACTACGGAGTTTAATGCGGTTTTTAATACTCATTAAAAACTCATTTTTCTACGAGAAAACGGAATTAAGTTCAAGGAATGTAAAATTCTGATAAGATTATGAAAGCGATCTCGATATATAGGTGAAAATGTATAAAGATTTTACTGTATTTATTAATTATTTAGCTATCGAATTCAACGATTATTTGTCTTTAATCTTATTTTTTGTTGTATAAGTATGTAAATAGCATTTTACAAAAACTTTTTTTTTGAACATTATTTTCACTTGTTCAAAATAAGAAATAATGCTTTAATCCCAATCTTTTTAATAATATGCGCATTATTGTTTGGTGTACGTATGTATGTATATGCATACTACTCGTAAAATATAAATTCAAATGTGAACCGAAATAAAAAAAAGAAACTTGCCAAATATGAATCTAAAAATTTTAAAAACAAAAAACAGATCAATTAAGAATATTTCATTTAAAATGTTATTAAGTATATTATATGCTTACCTGTTGAGCTACTGGATCTAAAATACTTTCGATTGTCTTGGTGTGAAAAACAGGCATTTTGAAGAATCTTCTTAAATGCCTCTCTCCAAAAAAATCAGCTTCAAATATTCGATCTTATATAAAAATTATTTTTAATTTTTCTTTATTAATACTTTCCGGTCAATTTTATTTTATAAATATTTTGTGTAAAAAAATATAATTTTGTGCTTGTATAAAAAATGTGATGTAAAAATATTTTATGTTTCTTGAATTTTTTAAGTGTACGTATACATATGTATGTAAATTTATGGTTTCGTAATATAAAAAAGATACAATCAAAATTAAAATAAAAAATGTTATTGGAAAAAAATTTACAAAACGGTAATTTAATTTGAAGTAAGTTTGAAAAAAAAAGTTTTTGTTTGTATTCGAATTAAAAAAAAAAATATGCACAGTTTTAGCACAACATAATTTTTTATATTTTTTTATTTTTATGATTTTGGTGGTGGTAAATCCTTATCAAATGATTTGCGAATTGATTCCTTTGATCACAATGACAATACGAGAAAATGTGTATCTTGAATCCTGTATGAAAAAAAAATCAAACAAAAAAAGGATACATTAGGGTTGGTTAAATACAAAACAAAAACGGAAAAAACTAAAAATATAAAAACTACTAGAGGAAAAAATTAACATAACGTATAAACATACACACGTACTTATATACTTATATGTAAACTTTTCATGATACAAAATGCAACGATGAAATAGAAAATTTACTTTAACAATTAAGTGAGCTTGATTAAGGGAGTATAAGCAGCAAAAACATTTTATGTGCATTTTGTATGCACTTTATTTTTAAGCACTTTGAATACTCAATATTGATGCAAAAAATGTAAGCATTTTCTTTTTTAATTTCTCAAAACGTTTAAAAATTAAAGACATGCCATTTAGTATAACACTTTCCATTTTTACAACTAAAATTATCGAATAAACTTATAATTTTAATGCTCAAAACAAAAGTGAATAAATGGGGATTTAAGTTTTGATGTTTTTTGGCAAAAGCGAGACACATAAAAGAAAAATTATTCTTCTTGCTATTTTCTGCCCATTTGGAAGAACAAGAATCAAGAAATAAGTAACAAGAAATACAGAATTAGACTGTTAATATTTTAATTTAATCCATCAATTTTTCCCAGGTTGTATATGAATTTATTATTTGAGAATAAGAAAAACAAACGTCAATGTGTTGGTATTATTATTCTACGATATTATTCTACGATATAGTTATTAAAATTTTTTTGGAAATATCCAATTGCGATTGATGTATAAATTGTGTTAAATCTTATATGAAACAAGCATAAATTCACATTTGTCAAATTAAATCATTGTTACAAATTAAAAATTCACTTTTTATTCAACAAATTTATTGTTTTATAAGATATGTTGATACACATTAATATGCAATTTCTTGGACAGTGAATTTTGTATCAAAAATTAAAAACAAAAAAATCTGTTGTGATCAGCACATTACCGACCGCAATCTGTATTGTCTAGTTAAGTGAAAGTGTTACAGAATATCATAAAAATGAATGTTAAATACTCCGTTCCAATTGTTAGGGCATTAGTAAGCTTATAGTTAACATAGAAAAATGTAAATTTAGTTCTTAGTAAAGTTTCGCCTTGTGCTACCCGAATTCCCTGAAATGCTCGCCAGTTAGTTTCGGTAACAACCAGAACTCAAATATCAAATTTCAAGAAATTCCATCAGTTCGTTCCGTAGATATTTTAGAAGAATTAAAATATTAAATTTCAATGAAATCGGTTGCTTATTTCAATTTATATACGCAAAAATGTATACATATAATAATGTAATAATGTAAATAATGGCCCGTAGTAAACGTTCAGTTGCTGATACTTGATTTCTTCCAAAAGTGAGAAGGTTCCGCGGACGATCGAGCGAAACTTACATTTGAAATTTCAAGTAAATCGGTTGAATATTTTCTTCATAATGATCAAAAATGCAAAAAAGGCCCGCTAAAAAGTACAGTTCCCGAGGCCTGATATATCCCAAAAGCGTGTATGTCAAGTTCAGACCGTCAGATTGCTAAAAATAGTTTATTTACATTTCTCTACCATGGAAAAGTGCGTTCCCACCGAAAACTCGATATGCAAAATTGGTTGCCATCACATAACCTACCTATTATATACACAATGCGGTCGGTAAAAAAACAGAAAACATTATAAGTGCTAAAATTTTTTAATATTCTTTTTATTATCTGCACATCGATCAGACAGTTAAGAAACTTATGCATGTAGTATAAGTTAGTATAACCCATTGTATTCAATATAATATGTAAGTTTAAAAATCGAAACCCGTAGCGTACTATTTTAAATTTCGAAATTTCAAATTATGACTGATTAACATGTATTTATTATTAGTACGTATTTCTGATAGGTTATTGCAATAGAAACGTGATGAAAAACTTAATTGGAATATGCTTTCATTTTAAACATTGAAAAAGAAAATGCCAAACCCTTTAAAGGAAGTATAGAATAACACGTGTTTGCTGTTGAAAATATACAGGGCATGTAAATTATTTTTATTTGATTTACGTTAAAATTGATTGATTTATATTCAATGTTTTATGTTGAATTTTATTAGACATTGTACAATACAAACAAAAAGTATTGTGACTAAATGGTGATTAAATTTTCTACAAAATTTTTTTTTGAAATTTTAAGGATGTTCACCGAACATATTAATAACGTAACAACACAACTTGCCAATATTATATGAATTACAACATCGCAAAGAAAAGCTTTGTACCAATTTACATTTAGTACATTTTTCTATAAAATAATTTTTAAAAACGGATTTTGCATTTACTACTAAAGAATTGTATATAATGATAATAAACTTAATTAAGTTTTGAACAATTACGCTTATGACTGTATACAATATTATTGAGTAAGGTATGCACATGCAATTTGTTGAATTATTTTAGAAATCTATGTATGCCAATTACTACACGAAATTGAATTAATTCAATTTTTCAAAAATAATATTGTGGGGTAAGTTGTTAATTATACAACACGAAATCTAAATGTAAAAAATATTGGATTTGTGCTCGAATACGTAAGTTATTCTTTATATACATATATTTGTTTATGAAAATAGAAAAGTTTAGTGTAAGCACAAGTAACAAAAATAGGTAATTAAATAAATATATTATTTATTCAATTTTCACTACACATTTCTAGTGTGCTCGTTATATATTTAAAGGTAGGGATGGTTGGTAATGATTTAAATACAAATTTAAGGGTGCAATAAAATTTTAACTATATACAAACTATCTTTATTTTGATGAAGAAAATGCTTTGAGATGCTTTGATAATATAGAATGTAATAATATTTTTGAAATATCTAAGATAAATGGTAATAATTACGACAAACAAATATTTTTAATAGTTTTTAAATACTTTAAAATATTGTAACTTTCAATAATAGTGGAGTTCTTATACAAAAATCAAGCATTTTTTTATAATTCAAATTTATAATTCAAAAAATCTGAAGTCAGAAAATACAAGCTTTTCTGACTTTTTAGTTTGTAAATAAGTATATTTGAGTATTTAGCATAAGATACCTTTTCATTTAATAAAATTAATTATTATATAAATTTAATGTTCAATCACTTTTTCTCTAATTTTTTTAAATAACTTTGAACAAAATTAATTATCATTTTAACATAATAATTTTGATTATTGCATAATTCAACAATTTATTTATTTTTCTCTTTTTGTTCTTGTTTTTTCGTTTTCGTTTGTATGTGATCATCACCCACTAACAAGTTGGCTCAGAAAATCTCAAATTCAAAACAAAATCGAATAAAAGCAAAAATTTTTGCTTTTTGTTCTAAAATTTCTCTGATTGATTTATGACATTGAATGAGAAAAACATTGTTTGTTCCTCCTAGAGACTTTTTAAAGCTTTATAAAAATTTTTTTATTTTGTTTTTAAATAGCTATTTTTAGTTTTTAGTTTGTAAATTTAGATTAACACTACAACAAAGACGCAGTGCCCCAGAAACAGTATTGTTGGTACTCCGATATTATTTCCAATTATAACAAAATGGTTAAGAGATTGTTCATCAATTTCAGAAAGTTTAGATTTTAATTCTAAATAACAAAACAGATAAAATTCAAACCACTTCATCGACCATTGCTTTCGTTTTTGAACAAATTTTTTTTGTCTCTTTTAAAAATTGTCATTGACGTACGCTTCTAAGTAAGGTTGATTTATTAATTAAGAATGTATTCTAAAGAAAACAAGCCAAACTAAGTTGTTATACAGTAGCAAAGTGATCACACACTACTTTTAACCCTCGAATTTATGTTTTTCTCTTATATCATTCACTTTTACCATATTTTACATGTTTTCATTTGTTTTGTTATACTTATTATTTATTTGAATTTTAAAAATATATAGAACCGCACGATTATACTTTAATATCTTATTTTTTGAATGTTTTTTATTTTTTGATTTTTTTTTGGCAGAGCAGCCAAATTAAATTGTAAAATTGAAAATCCCACACTATATGGAAGAGAAAACCCCTAAAATATGACAAAAAAGCTATAAATGTTGACAAGGTGTGCAGCATACATCTTTATTTTTTATCAAAACAATTCAACATGTAAATTTCATGAACATGTACAGAGTCGACTGAAAATAGTAAAATGAAAATTATATTTTTTAGCTAGAAAAATTCAAAAATATATCGAAAGTTGTTTGATATTTTATTTTTTAAATTGAGAACTGCAAAGTTCTGTCAAATCCAGTAAAGTTTCAAAGTTGAAAATAAAGTTTCAAATCTTTTAAGGATATTGTCTAAAAAATATAAAATACGGTCGATTATGTCGCGTTCACATTAAACTTTTCATCTTTAACTTCGAAATTATGAAAGTACTTTTTGCATATTAATTACGGAGGGGAGAAATTCCTTTGCCTATACAATCTACAATCTACATAATATGCATATTTCGAATTTCGGAAAATACTGTGAACATACACAAGTAAATTTTGTTCACCTTTCAATTTTTAAACGTGAACGTGATATGTTTTTTTATCATAATT